GGATCATGTTTTCGTGGTCCATTATGCCTTCGTCTTCTGCTGAATTTAGAGGTAGAATATCCTCTAATGTGTCGTTCCCCTCCTCCTTCTCTTTCAACTGTAAATAGCCCCCTGTGTGCATCTCCATATTTTCTTTGTTCTCCGTATGGATAATAGATATTGCATCATCATCAACTTGCTCTTCTGTCGCAACCCGATCATTGCATGCCTCAGCAAAGGTTCCTGGATTAAGTACTAATTCAGCCTCTAACACCCTTGGTGTTGTTATGTTTGCTTCAATCTCAATTTGGAATGGGTCTGAGATCTTTTTTGCCTTAGGCCCACTTGTTTTAAAATAACTTCTGCTAGAATGGGCCAGCGGGTCCAAGCCCAAATCTTGTTTGACCTTTATCGAAAAGTTAAATATGAGATAAAGGTCTAAGAAAGTAAAAGTGTGTATCTAGAGGAGAGGCCAATATATCATATTGATAATGTCAATACTACAGAGTAGAAGGCAATTGTAGGTTCAGACTTTCAGATGATAATCACGAAGTTCATCGGTAAACTTAGATGGATGCACACTACTTGATGTTGACAATGATACTAATTCCTTGAAACTGATTCAACCCTTAGTCCGACATTAAAACTCTGAATTAACCAAGTTCAGTTTTTTTTTAAGATCTTGCTTTATTTAATATAATTTGACTGAAATACCCTGGTGTTAGAGTCTCTTCAAATTGTTAATGGTCTATTGGAAGGGGAATAAAAGATGTTACATGAACAATGACCAGACTTTTAGAAACAAATTGAAAGTGTAAGAATGTTACATGAACTATAGGACCATAATTCTGCAACTGAACAAGAAAACTTAAAGACTCTTAGATAATAAAACAGGCAGCCAAATGCAGATAAGAAGAATCAGTCATGCTTCGAGGCAATAAGTTATTCTACTAAAAACAGGAAATTGCAGAACAAAAGGGTAGCTTGAATCTAATATCACCCATCACATTGTAAGCGGATGCAGAGGAAAGATACCTTATTAATTTAATAAATATACAAGTGCAAAATGTCAGAATTCCTAGATATAAAAATAGAGGCACCACCATTCTCAAAAAAGAGTTCATTCTTAAAATAATAAAAACGGAGGCACCAGACGAAGTAGACTATAGGCCAAAGAAGCAGATACAAGTGAAACACATTTAGAGTTATACCACTTCAATGAAAAGGAACAAAATGATGCAGGAATGACGGAACAATGGTATTCATATATTGACAATGCCTTCATCCCAAGGAAAACTTCATAAGTTCCAGCAGAAAATGAGAGACATTTCTCTGTCTGCCCCACATCACTGTTCCAGTGAAAAGTTCTGAAGAAGATTCAACGAAAGTCAGTAAGAAATAAAAGCTGACCATATGTCTTCCTCGACAAAAAGAGAGAGGTATGCTACATGTCTCTCCTTGTGGATCCAATAACGCCAAAAACAGCACTTGTTAGAGGAATGCTCTCTAATTGAATATCTTTTTTTATGACCGCGGTATCTGGGCCAGCTTTCGCACACCTTGACTAATTCCACGGGATACCTGCCACTTCCCACCAGCAACAGGTACCACCCACAAGCAACAGGTACCAAATAACTCTGTCCACCAAGGCTAGGACAAATTGGAAGAATCACCTAGTGTTTTTTGTCTCCATTGAGTTTTGAACTGCTCTGTAGCTGAATATCTCTAATAGTGCTTAATGTCAAAAGGTTCTATCTAACATCAAATAAACCAGAACGAAAAAAAAAAATCCTCTTCCTAAAGCAAATAGATGAACAGATGTTAGCTATTGTTATGAATGGGCCTGGACCAGTATTGGCAAAGTAGCCTAACACTTGATTAAGTGTCTATGCCTAGAATCCAGGTTGATAAATAGCGAACTGTGAGAGCAAAATAGGTTTATACGAATTATATTGCAATTTCACAAAGTCTGTTATCCCCTCATCCCCTTCTATGTTCTAGTATCTCATCTCCTTCCCTAGTATCCCTAGCTATTTTATTTTCACAACTTCAATTGTATTACTGTCATTAAAGTATTAGTTGATAACCAGCTACTGTAATTGAGTCAGTTCCTATCAATATAAATCGGGAGTTTGGTTGCTGCTACATTGTTGTTTGTTACGTTGGTTCTTTCATTGATTTGGACTCATGGATCTATACTCTTCTACCATTATCCATCATCACCTCAACATCATCCAGGATTTGCTAATGGTACAGATGGACAATAATGCCCGTATACTCAGACACCTCGATAACATAGAGACACTATCTGCCTCCTCCAAAACGAACCATGATGCTCCAGAGCACTCGGACGTGGTTGTGTCCTTGGACGATAAGTGTGAATCCAAGGAGGTCTCAGCACCTCTTGTTATTGCAGAATCAGGGTTTGATTTTGATTTGGATAAAGGCCTCTCCAGCCCTATGAGCAAGTCGGAGGAGGATAATTTAAGAAGCTATGCCTTCCTTTGATGGTGTAGAGCTGGGTATGTAGTTTAATATTGGACAGGTTCTATGGTCTTCCTTTGATGGTGTAGAGTTGGGTATGTCTTCCTTCCTACATGTGCTTATTGTTTATTGTAAAGGCCTTCAAGTTCAAGATGTTGCAGATGCTTCAAATGTATGCATACTCTCAAGGCATGATGCTATAGTAACCTATACGGACAATGTACCTACTGCGGTGTTCGATACAACCATATGTAGCAACATCCCAGTGCTTGATCTAGACGAACCATTAACAAACATCATTCTTGCTGGTTTCCTCCAAGAAATACTAGAAGCCAGACAACAATTTGGTTTATTTTAGATTGTAAACCATGGAATATCTAAGCTAATGGATAATGTGATGAATCTATTTGAGTTTTTATCATTCTTTTAATCATGTAAATATGTTTCATTCATAGCATGGCCGAATTGACCGTTTACACAAGGGGTATACCAACCGGTAAAGAATCTACTATACAAGGAACTTTCTGTTTACACCAAAAGAAAATAAGAGAGCCGAGACTTCTCCTCAACTGAGAGAAACTCGACTCTACACCTTCAAAAGCTCTTTTGTTTCTCTCTCCAACCTACCCAGATTAAAGCAAATGGAACAACATTCCAATCCCTTTGTCTTTTTCTCCTTCTCCCGCTCTTCCAACTTATCATCAAATCTTTCACAGATTTTGGCATTGCCCATGAAGTGCCAAACCACCTAAACATATCCCACCATGACCTCATGGTTGTCCCGCAATGTAGTAGAAGATGATTCGCGTCCTTGCGCACCTTGCACATGTAAAGCCAACTGATGCAAGCATCCTTCTGCTTTCTAAGATTTCTCGCTGTCAAAATTACCCCTCTAGTAGCTAGCCACGTGAGGACTTGGCATAAATAATGTGGTTGAGTCCCATCAGCATCACAAAAAACCAAGGTGTCATCCGCGACCAACAAGTGAGACACCGATATTGTCCCTACACCCCAACTGCCACATCAAAATATTTGCCAATGAGGAGATAAGCTTTTGTCCTATGTCTTCAAATAAGAGTTGTGACGTGTGTGGAAGTAGAATTTGGTATTACGCTAACAAAGAGAAGCCTCAAGCGGAGCACCATGTTGGTTGCAAATGGCATGGTGGTCAACCCTTACTGATTTCAAAAGTTGAAACCCACTACCATAATGTATTCATTCCTGTTCAAGCTTGATCATGAGATGCCATATCTCTTTCTTGTTTGTACTGATTGGGAAGATATCAAATGCTTGGATGAGTTTCACGTGCCACAAAAAGATAGTTTTCAGTTAACCTAGTTCATGCTTTTGTGGAGGCTCGCTGCAGGAATGCTTTCCTTGGCTCTCTCATTTAGCTTATTGCTAACTGCTCCAAGAAGAAGGCAATCAAAGTCATGTTAATATGCAGGGCTGGTTACAATGAAACTCAAGTTAACAAATCTGTTACCGTTCACTATAGGCCACAATGACCAAGGTTTTGATTGTTCCATAACAGGTGCACTAGCGCACACATTTTTTTCAAGTCATAAAGCATGTCTTGGTATTGAGATAATCAGTAGGGACCCCCTGAGCATCACTGTTCACTCGAACGTTGAGGACAAGGTTCTAATTGGGGATGGAGGTATTGTTATGAATGGGTCTTGATCAGTATTGGCAAAGCATCCCAACAACAGATTAAGTGGCAATGCCTGGAATTGGAGTTGATAAATAGCGAACTGTGAGAGCAATATAGGTTTATGCGAATTATATTGCAATTTTGCAAAGTCTGTTATCCCTTCATCCCCTTCTATCTTCCAGTATCTCATCTCCTTCTCTAATATCCCTAGCTATGTTATTTTCACTACTTCAATTATAATTCTGTCATTCAAGTATCAGTTTGATTACTAGCTATTGTAATTGAGTCAGTTTCTATCAATACAAATCTGGAATATGGTTGATGTTACATTGTTGTTTATTACAGCTACCCACAGCCGAATAAAACAGTAAAGACAAACTCAAACTAATTCTACAGTAGGCCCAACAACCATGATTAGAACATACAATACCACAAGCTGAGAAAGACGGTAGAGGTCATGGTAGACTATGATAATCATTAGACAGTACAACATATTTGGAAAACAACTATTTAGAATTCAGCCACTTGGCATTATATCAACAAAAAAAATAAGCCACTGGCAAAAATCCCACCAGAAAATTGATATACTGAAAATAATATCATCAAGATTAGGATTCCTAGCTCATATGACTCTTGAGTTGAAATTCATTAAGTAAATTATTGAAAAGTAACACAAACCCGAAACACACTAAAGGTTTAACACATGTGTATATCGCAAATAAAGTATTAACAAACCAAAAGACTTAAATAATAGTAATAACACCTCAAGAAATGTTTTACTTTGCAGAATTCATAATCAAATTTCTGTGAAACCAATTTCAGTTGCTCGTATCAAGAGCACCAACAAACGCAACAAAATCTGTCTAGGTAGTTTAAAAATTACCAGGGCACCAACTAAGGTTGGTAGAAGGGTCTATATCAGCCAGGAATAGGATGAAATTGGCTTTGTTTTTGGGCGACTCTGCTCTAAACTTTTCAAAAACTCCATCAAAAGTTGCTACGGTTGCGTCCAACACCTTCAACGGCATTCTTACTGCTACAATTCGATTTCAGTTACCCTACTTCTGCTACGCTTGAATTAGATATTTTCAACCCTCATCTATATATTACTAGATATGGAGCCCGTGCTAGCACGGGCCCAATATATGTTACTGTTTCTGTTTCAATTTATGTGGTACATATGAAATTTGAAGTTAATCAATTTTTTAGTATGTTTTTATATATTTTAAGTTGCTAATTATTTTTATTTAGAGTATATTTTACGTAAATATATTATAAATCACAATAATTAACAAGTTAATATAAAAAGAAACTTATAAAAAATTCATTGACTTTTGAAATTTCATTTGTATCACATAAATCAGGACAAAGCAAGTAATATATATGAAAATTACATAAAACGTACTATAACTCACAATAATTAGCAACTTAAAATATCAATATATCTATATTTCTCCCAATTTATGTGGTATAGATGAAATTTTGAAAGTTAATAAAAACTTTTTATATGTTTTCAAATATTTTAAGCTATTAATTATTATGATTTATAATACTTTTACATAAAAATTTTATTTATATAAAGTACAAAAGAACGAATTTAAAAAATGAAAACATAAATGTCAGCACGAGTCCAATCTATGTTAATTTCTATGTTTTAATTATTGTAATACCGGTTGAATTTGGAGAGCCAGCTAAATTTTTTTAAAGGATTTTTTTTATAAATTTTAAGTTGTTAATTATTATAATTTATAATATTTTATTTATTTTAAATCAATATATGCTTCTCTCTGTCTCAATTACATGACACATATGGAATTTGGAGAGTCAACTAAAATTTTAAAATATGTTAAGTTGTTAATTATTATACCTTATAGTACTATTACGTCATTTTCAAATAAAATATATAATTTTTTTATTTGAATTTATGTGTCATTGATATAATTACATATATTAAGTAATAAAGAATTAATGTCTAAATTATGTGACACCTATGAATTTTGGAGTGTAAATCAAATTAGTTATATGATTTTAAAAAAATAAAGCGGTTAATTATTACAATTTATAATACTTTTTATATATTTTTTAAATGATATATATATATATTTATGATATTGATATTAGTATTATAATAAATTAAATTTTATTATTTTTAAATTTATGATCTCAATTGTCAGCCTATGTCACATTATAAAATGTTCCAAAGTAGATATCAGATTTACAAAAATGTCGATGCCAGCTAAAGTAATAAAATAACATCTAAGGGCATGAACCTATATATATATATATATATATATATATATATATATATAGACAATATGATGTGGCACCTCTCTATGGCCAGCATTTCTATTCATCTTTTTTTGACATTTTATCTTTGTTTTGTATTTTTTATTTGTATTGTAAAAAAAAATTTGAAAGTATTTATGTCATACCTAATTAATTACGCCCTTTATAACATCCATTACACTAATATAGACTTAAGTAAATGGAAATGGAAGATGAAAAGATAAAAACTATTCACTTTTCATAACTGTTTATAATTATTTAGCCTATAAAATAAATAAAAAATAGTTGAGCATTTGTAACAAATAAGAACAAATTTCTTCACTTTGGCTCTTCTTCTTCTGACAATGATGATGAATATATGGTATTAACTTATATCGCTAAGATGTCCATCAAATTTTTAGGTTATGTGACTTTTTTAACAAAAGAGAAAGAGAGAATATCTCATGACTCTTGTGAAGACATTGATGTAAAGAAAAAAATCATGTAACAAAAGTTTCTCTTCAAAATAAAACATTTTTTGAAAAAATGTTTATTCCTCCTACAAGGAGAAAATATTCATTGTGGTTGAGAAATTTATAAGAAGACAGATTAGTGTTTCAAAGGGTAAGAAAAATTATTTGGAGAAAAAATCATTCTATTTATGAAATTCGTATCAAATTAGGAGGACAACAAGCAAAAATTATTTTGTGATTTAAAAAGAGAGAAAATTAGATATTATTTCTTTCAACCTCATTATTCTTCTAATTTCTTTCTTCTTTTATTTTGCCTTGATTTTTTGTATCTTTAATTAAAGTTTTTTTTTTTTCTTATTTATCTTTAATTAAAGTTTATATATATTTTCTGAAAAAATAATTTAAAAAGATGATCATATTTAGTTTTTTTCCTCATCAATGCTATTAATCTCATAATTAGTGTTATTTATATTATTTTCTTAATTAATTTTTTTTCTTTCTTTTAATTATTTTATTTGAAGAAATTAGTTATTATAACTTTATAAGAATTACACATGTATTTTTACATAATTGATTTGTCATTTTTAAATTTTTTGGATCATTCTTCATCTTAAAGTTTCTATCTATATGTAACAATAAAGCTAAAATAGAAAATGTGGGGTCACACCTTCTTAGCAATAGATATTTATTTATTCTTATCAATGTTTCTGACATTTTTTGTTATTTTTTCCTTCAAATAATTGTTGCCTCGATTTTTAGTTTTAGTTTTTTTTTTTTAGTATTTTCTAAAATGATTTATTTAACTCCTATCATCATCAATATTATTATTAATTTCTTTTACTTCTTTCCTTAATCTTCATTTCATCATTAATGTAATTTATATCATTTTCTTAGATATATATATATTTGTGACATTTCTTAGAAGTTAGGATTACTATTTATTTAATTTTTAAAAATTTTGAATTCTTTTGTCATACTAAATACAACATGTTTTGTTATAATTACATTCAATATATTAATCAATATGTTGTACGAATGAAAAGAAAATTATCATTTCACAAAAACAAAGGTTAAAATATAATTTATTATGATTAAGGAAAGATAAAAATATTATTCCAATATCCATAACCATATTTAATACATTAAAAATTAATTGAAAAGCTGTAAATGGAAAAGAAATCACCATTTAAGGAATCATTATTTTTAAATTTTTGGATCATTTCTTCTTCTAAAAGTTTCTATCCATTTGTAACAATAAAGTTAAAATAGAAAATGTAGTGACACCATTCTTAGTAATAGATACTTATTTATTCTTATCAATTTTTTCTAACAATTTTGATTATATTTTTCTTTAAAATAATTATTGCCTCGATTTTTATTTTTATTTTTAACATTTATTTAATTTTAAAAGATTGGAAATTTTATGTTAAAAATTTAAATAATAGAAAAAATGATTTATTTAACTTTTATCATCATCAATACTACTACTTTATTTGACGTTTTTTCTTCATCTTCATCTCATCATTAATGTTATTTATATAATTTTGTTAAATCACTTATTATTTCTTTTTTAACTCTTATATATATATATAAGTTGGATATGTAAATGATGATGTGACATTTCTTAGAAGCTAAGATTACTATTTATCTAATTTCTCAAATTTTTGAGTTCTTTTATCATACTAAATACAATATGTTTTATTATAATTACATTCAATATAGTAAACAATATGTTCTAGGAATTAAAACAAAATTATCATTTCAGAAAAATAAATGTTAAATTATAATTTTATTATGATTCAGGAAAGATAAAGATATTATTTCAATATCCCATAACCGCATTCAATACATTAGAAATTAATTGGATATAACTGTAAATGGAAAATGAATCACCATTTAAGGAAAATAAATGGTTGCAATACCATAATAATTAAGGAGAGAGTAAGATATTATTTTAATATCCTAATTCCGAACTTTTAATCTACTACTCAATTAAAAAGAAAATGCATTTAATAACATTAAAAAGTTATTAGTTTAATATTTTTTCTCATTCTACTACTTCAATTCAATCAAACTTAATTTTAAAGATAAAATAACAGCTCCATTTTAATTGTTATCAATATATTTCAAAAAATTATCGTGAAAAGGCTTTTCTTGCACCTTATTTTAATTTTCATATACTATTTTTTTTTGTCATTTTTCAATGATTTTTTATTTCGATTTAAAATTTAATGTTTATTCTTAAAACTCTGATGGTACAAATTAAGGTGGAGTAGAATATAATAAATGATGATTCTTCTACTAAATAAGAAGATATAACAAAATTGAAAGGGTGAAGTTTTTTTTTCCAAAAAAATAGATAGGAAATTCTATTAATGTATCATTACGTCATTATTCAATATATTTTTAATATAAATTTCATTTGCTGAAGCATTTGTTTAGTACTCCCTCTGTCCCTAATTACTTGCGCATTTTTCCTTTTATAGTTGTCCCTAATTACTTGTCCATTTTGACAAATCAAGAAAGAACAAATTTTTTTACATATTATACCCTCAATTAAATCACTAATTACATTGAAAATTGCAGAACTTTTCATCTACTTCATAATTAATATGGGTAAAATGATAAACTCACTATGTGATTAATTGATTTCTTAATAAATGTGTCAATTTAAAAGTGGACAAGTATTAGGGACATAGGGAGTATTACAGTGTTATTTCACATTACGAGATATTTCTTAGACATTTAAGGAGAATGGTACACCGAAATATATATTATATATTAAAGGATCAACTTCATGCAATGGAAGAATTTGTTATTAGCAAATATATTTTAACTTATTTGATAAAAAATATATTCTTGCTCATTTAATAGATGTAAAATTTGAAAAACTTTATTTTTTTCACAATCTTCATAGTACTAAAACAAACAATAATATTACGATTAAACAACAGAGTAAATATAAAATTAATCAAAAATATTTAAATTTTAATGATCACGCGAAGTGCGACCAAATTCTCTAATTTAAAACAAAAAGGTAAAATTTAAATGGGTCTACAATAGAATTCCTAGAAATCCAACTTGAAAAATTATGTTAAAAATGGAAAATAAAAAGTGAAATAAATTTAATTGAGATTTATCCTTCGTCTGTCCCATTTTATGTGACACTTTTTATTTCTCGAGAATCGATAGTTTAAGTTTGATTGTAAATTTGCGTATGGTATCTTCAATTTTTTTAAAATGAAATTTATATATTTGTAAACTACGTAAAAATCAAAATATTATAATTTATAATAATTAATAATTCAAAATATTTTAAAGATCTATGAAAAATTTAAGATCAAAGATAAACTAAAGAGAGTAAAAGGGGAAAT